AGAAAGATTTAATTGCAATGAACAATTAAACGAGTACTGATTAACTGACTGCTTATTTTATTTATATTTCAATGATTTCACTCAGTCTATCAGTCGAAAAGAATTTAATGACCAAAATTAATACTAAATTAATAGCTAAATTGATTTGCAATAGAATGTAAGAAAAATAATACACATTTATACACATTAATGATATAATTGGCGAATGAAAAGAAATTTAATAAATATTGAGATTAGTTAGAAAAAAAAATCAAACTTAAGAAATTCAAAAAGAAACAAACAAAAATTTGCTATATTCAGGATATCAAACGAATTTAAAATCATCAAATTCTTACTTTTAAATGAAACATCGAAAATATAAGAAGCTTTTGTTCATCCAATATTTATAAATAACCTGTAAGTTATTACCGTTCATTGCTTGTTGAAGTGTAAAAAACAACAACAAAAAAAAAAAAGCAGCAACAAAAAGCAACAACAACAATAATAATATAAACGACAAAGACAGCAGTAAAAAACGAGATGTTGAAAAATAAAAAAGTAAGATATGAAAAAAAAAAACATAAATAAATATGCTAAATATTACTGCTTATAAAATTTATTCGAATTTATTAGTCAAAGTGAAATTGTAACTAATTTTAAGCAATAAAAAAGAAAAATTTTCAAAAAATATAATAAAGATATTTTTTCATTAACAACTAATAATATATTCAAAAAAAGTGAGAAAAAAGGAAGGCTATCATAAAAACTTAAAAAGTTATTTTAAATAATACTAAAAAAATAATTGTACCATTATGAAAGTAATACTGAAAATATATAAATGGCTGTGATAATTTTAAAATTGATGAAACGTGAAATATATATCTTATAGAGAGGAAATTAAAATATTTTCCTTTCTCTTTCTCTCCCTCTCTCTCCCTCTCTCTTCATCTTTTCTTTCATATTTATCAGCATTTTTTTTCCTTCTTTTTTTTTTTGAAAACAGGTGAAATAACATATGAAAAAAATCAATTCAAACTTAAAAATAAAAATGATTAGTAATTTGAACTTTATTATTTGCTTATTTGCTTTTCATTTCATATTGTAAACAAGATTTCTATACTTTTATTTAAGGAAAAAAAAAAGATGAAAAAAAAAATTTTCTTTTGACATAAAAATATAAAAAATGTGAATTTTTTGAAGTGTAAATATATAAGAAAATGAAAATTTTATTCTTTAAAATAATAAAGTAACTTTTCCTAAGATATAAATATACATATAAATGAAAAATTCATTTTTTTTTTCTCTTCTTTTTCACATTATATAGCATAAAAAAGCAAATAATTCGACTAAAACTTCAAAAAGAAAAAGAAAAAAGGAAAAGATTTTGACGTAAATTCATTAAATGTAATTTTATGAGAGAACAAAAGGAATATCATTTTCACCTTTTCTTTTTCGTTTTCTTTTTTTTAGGCTAATTTTTTCAGTAAATGTGGAATAAAAAAAAAAAATATTAAAAGCACCAAATATTTTTATATTTATCATCGTCATTTCTCTTTTTTTTCCAATTTTCCTTAAATTAACTTTTTAATGTAAATTTTATAAAATTTGAAGAGAAAGAGAAAAAATTGAAAATATTAAGTTAACAAATGAGTATGATATAATATATAAGTACATGAAGAAGACACTAATTGCTATACAATTTACTTAAGTATACTTTATTAAACTATACACACATAACTATAATTAAATTACATGAATATTTGCAGTAAGATTAAAACTTAATTTAATATTTACTCATTAATAATCAACATGCATATACGTCAAATGTTTGACAAAATATCTTTTTTATCCTCTCGTATTCATACTGAAATTATTTTAGAAAAATTTAAAAATGATAAATCATTTTAGTGAAATTAAAATTTATATTTAATATTTACGTAACAGATATGAAATTATTTATCCTTTCCTTTTGCTATTAAGTATGAAATGAATTCAACTTTATATCAATAAATAAATTTATTTTTCACTGAATTTTTTTTTGTGAAGGAATATATTAACATGAAATATGATTGATTGGTATATTAAATTATAATTTTATGCATGAATTATTTTTATTATTTTCTATCACTTAGTATTTAATGAAAATGAAAAGAGGAAGAAAGCAAGGAAATAAAAAAAAAAAAACGTAAACGTAAAATAAAAGGAGAAAGAACCATAAAAGTAATTGAATGAATAAAAGTAAAAGTTAAATATTAATGGGAGCAAAAAAAACAATTTAAATTAGCAATCATGCCAATTGCATGATTAATTATGTTTCAAAATTTATTTCAAAATCAATTAATTAATATTTTGACGAAAAAATATATAGCAAATATTTCATTGAAATGTATGGACGTGATAATTAAGAATGAGTTAAATATGACGAACAATAAAATAATAAATTAATATGATCAAATGATAACAAATGATCAAGAAGTGACAATTAAAATAATAATAAATCGATAGTTCAAATAACAGTAATGACAAAGTTAATGCGTCAATTGATAAACAAATCAATAGATCAAATGGTCGTAGCAACAGCGATAAAGGTCAAATAATGGCAATTAAATAGTTATAAAATCAATAGGTCAAATTGTGGTAAATCAATTGACTAAACAATTTTTCATTTTAAGTGGAAAAAAAATGATGAACCGAAAAAGAATTTCAGACAAAAAAAAGAAAAACGATTTTTGAAGTAATATGAAACATTATAATAATTTGAAATGTCTAACCTAAATAATGCGTTTAATTAATTTGGTATTAAAAAGATAATTATTTTAAATATCTTATCAAATAGGTCGCTTTTTAATATCATTTAATTTAATATTGATAACTATAATAGTAATCAGCCATAATCAATAGTCGTAGCTAATTTTTTTTTTTTTAAATCAAGTAATGTATGATGTGTTGAAAATTTATCAAGAAAAGAAATTAATTGATCAAAGAATCATTTAATTAGGAATCGTAGACAAGTTAATGGCAAAAATTTAACTCATAGAAATGAATGAATTAATTAATTAAAAAGATTGCACTAATTAAAAACTGGTACTCTTTTGCCATTTTTAAAAAGAATAATTCTTCTCTCATCTTAATCTCATTCAGTCTTTTCAAATTGATTTATATATTCCATTTTACTTCGAAAAACTCATATCCTATTTACAAAAATAACAGTAATAATAATAATTGTTATATTATTATAATAATACCAAAAGCGAATAATAATTGTAAAATAATTTCCTGAAAAAATAAAATTGATGCATTAGAAAAGAATAAAATTTGCTTATATCGCTGAACAATGTTTGAATAGATGGAAAGCAAAGAAAAGATGAAAAAATGATGAAAAGGGAATTCTGAAATTTTATTGAAACATAATTGGCATAGAATGAAAAGAGAATTTTAATTTTATGTGTATTACGTGAAAGGAAAGATTTTTAAAAAATATATTACACCAAACTAAACAATTTGCGCATCAAATTTATGTGGGAATTATATTATTCATTCATTTAAAATTAAAAAAAAAAAAATTAATGAATCTCATTTATTTGAAATGTGCACTCTCTTTGGGAAATATAGCAAGTAAAAGTTAAATGTAGTATGTAAAATATAAGAGTTAATTGTTGAAATAAAATAGTAAAAAAAAGTTGTATAATTGTCAACTTTTTTTGGCACCAATTAAACATTCGAAGTCTATGCAAATGTATTGATTTCTCTTTCTTTTTAAAAAAGAAAAATAAGTTGAATTTGCAAAAAAAAAATTAATAATCTTAAACAATCCCCGCAAATATTATATATACATATCAAATTGATCTATAAAGTATTCTTCATTCATTTAAAATTTTAATGAATCAATAAAAAAATCTAGCCATTTTTGTATCATATCAATTCGTGTTACAAATTTTTATCAATAGATCTAAAAAAATTACCAACAAGTTTTATCTTTGATTTTATTGAAAAAAAGAAAAGGAAAAACTAAAACTAGCTAAAGTAAAAAATGAAGAAAAAAAGTTTTTTTTAAAATAAAATGAAATAAATTAGAATAAAACCAATAGTGAAAACTTTTCTTGCCTAATTAAGGACATTTATATAGTGACAAAAAAAGGGATATATACGAATGAAAACAGGAAATAATACATAAGTTAAAATAAATGAATGGGAAATTAAAGGAAATTTATATCATTTCACAATTTCAAAAAATAATGCATTTTAATTTTTCCAGGAACCTAAAAAAGCTAATTGTGAAATGTTCAAAATATGGCATTGTTATACGACATAATAAGCAATCATTTTTGTCATCGATCCATTCAGTGAATCAAATAATTTTCGTATTTCTCTCCTTTTTTAAATATATTCCAAATTATAGGAAAATTTTAATTGCTAAAAAATTGTGTAAAAAATGATTGAAGAAGAAAGATAAAAAATGGCATGACAATGTAATAAATTCAATATTTTTCAAATTAAAAAAAGAAAAAAAGAAATAAAAAAGAAACGAGAATGGACTTTAAATATTTGATGGCATGAATATTTCGTAGAATATTTTCATAAAAATAATTATGTACCAAAAAAAGTTGTAGTTAATCATTCAGAATGTTAATCATAAATGTAAACTTAACAAAAAGTAGTTAAAATTTAAACATACAAATTTTAGAATGCTTTATTTAAAATATATTTCAAAATACTAATGCATTTCTTCTCGACTAATTAAAGATACAGAATAAAATAAAATTTTTAAAACTTACTAATTTTGTGACTTGTTTTCACCTGTAAATTTTAGGGGAAGTAGTAATGACAATTTGTTGTTAATTAATGGCAAAATGCACACCAAATATAAATTCAAATAATGATAAAGAGAGAAAATGAAATATGAAAAAAAATTTAGCAACAAAATTAATCCAAGAAAAAGGAATAAACAATTAAATGTGTTTATTTAAGACCTAACAATGATTTTTTTTTAAAAAAAAAATTGTTTTTTTTTTTTCAATTTTTCACCATTGTTTTTTCAATTTGTCAAAACCACCACTGTCATCACCATTATCATCACCATCATTATCATTAACATTATCATCATCATTACCATCACTACCATCATTATCATTACCATGACCATCATTACCATCATCATCATAATCATCATCACCATTCATCACCACCACGACCATTATATTATGATCGCTATAATTGCTGTACCTACCATTATCACTGCTATCATTATGACAACCGAGATAACCACCACTCATATCACTGGTATTACTACATCCATTTTCGGTATCATTTTACCGATAATTATCATCAATGATAATGATATCCTTGTTGTCAATGATGTCTGTGATTTTATTTTTCATCATTCGTTTTCTTTCGCTGGTTTGTTCTGATTAAGACACGAATATAACTTCTACTGTAATGTAGTGACAGGTCTCTAATTTTTCAAGGTAAATAATTCAAAAAGGAAAAGAAAGATAAAGATAGACAAATGTTTTGAAATTATAAAACAATTTTGAAAAAATTATAAAAATCCGTATCAACTATAATGAATTATTTTCTTAGACATTATGATCTGTTATAATCAGGTTTTGTTGTTATGATATGATAATGATTTGCTATATTAATATGACAATTTATCACATTTTTAACTAAATCTAAGGAAAGAAGCAATTGGTTTTGTAGTGTATATTAGCTTATAAAATGTTAAGGTAAGGTAATAAAAGGGTTGATTGATTGATTGATCGATCGATCGATCGATTCGTCCAAATATTATTAACATGATGGTAGCAGTTTAGAAATTCTTGTAGCACATTTGATATCATGATATACCGTTAAGAAATATTTTCAAATAGATGCGAAATTTAAACTAATAATAAAAAAAAAAAAAGGAAAGAAAAAGAGAAAGAGAGGGGACAGAGAGAAGGAAAGACAATAGAAAAAATATTGCAAAAAGTTAGCAAATGTAAATGTATGAATATTTAACGATAAAGATTAAAATTTTAGAAGCAAAGCATTAATAAAATTTATCTGATTTATGTCTGTTTTACAAATGATCGATAATTCAATCAATCATTTATTGATTCTAAGGACAATGAGTCATCACTTTTATACAATGTGTTGATGACACGGAAGAAAAAATCAATCGATCATCACAAAACTGTATATCTTGGATGAACGAATAGATAACAAACATATATGAAATAAAGAGAATATATTTAAGCATTGATAAGATAATATATTAAAAATGATTAAATTTTAATTAATTAGCAGAAAAATGATTTTTATTATGGAAATATTTATTTCATTAATAAAATTATAAAAATTAGAATTATTTAATCTTTTTTGATATAAATAAAATATTATATTAATGTTTTTTATTTTAAAATTTATGACATGAATCATTTTTTATCTTCTTCTTGTGCATTAATTTTTATAGATCATGCTTATATTAGGTAGCTTCAATATGATCATTAAATATTTAATCGATTTTGCAAGTAATTTAATTAAGTAAATGAGCAATAATATAACTAAATGATTTATTAGATATCCTTGTTTTGTCTAACAAATTTAAAAATTCAGTTAATATAGTAATTTCAACAATAATTAAAAATGCCAAATGTTACTAATAACAAAGAAAGGAATGAATCAGTATTTAATTATTGCATTCAATAAAAAAAGAGGAAAAATTGTGCCCATTTTGTTAATTTATCAAAAATGATGACAACTGATAAAAAAAAGCAGTAAATGGTTTTTATAAATAAAAGTAAATATTTTTTATTTTCAAACTTGTTTAGTTGTAATATGATAAATTGTAATGTAGCAACGACCAATTTTCAACAAAAATCCTTCGTTACAAAATTTTTCTTCCAATGCAATTTCAATTTATTCACGTAGTTATCAAAGAATAAAATGAATTACTAAAGTTAGTTATCCTATCATAATTCAAAGAAATGTAATTCAGAATTGGAAAACGGCATTAAAAAATTTTTAATTAGTTATTATTTGTATATACTGGAAAATATTTAATTTTTTACATCATATAATTTAATTAAAATTGGGAAATGATACGACTGTAATATTTTGAAGGTATAAAAAAAATAAATAGATAATTAATACCAAATTTGGAAGAAAAAAAGTAACCTATAAACAATTAATTATATTAAATAAATTAATTGTACATTATTAATTTTATCATAATTTGTTACGTAGATCTTTTAATCATTACAAAATGCAAAATTTAAAATAAGATAATAAAAATATTCTGCATAATATTTTGAGTAAAGTATTTAAGGATCAAAACGATTAATCTAAGCAATATATGAATCATAAATTAAATTCTTTTATACATTCAGTTTTATTTTACTTAATGTGAAAAAAAAAAAAAAAAATTAGAAAGGAAAAATGAAAAGGGAATGATGAAAAATTTTTTGAATATATTTCATAATTCTGACAAACTCTTTCAAATTTTCAAATGACAAAATGCTAGCTATCGTGTGTCCGTCTGTCTGTCCATCTGTCCGTCTATACATTATATGATGACATAAAAAAGGAAAACCGGAACGATGAATATTGAAAAAATGTGTGGTAATATGATGTAAAAATAGGTTGATTGCACATCAGATTATAATATAGCACACAGAACTTCAAATTCCAATAAAATTGTTCCACGTATTGTGCAAATGTATGTTGAAAATTGTGGAGTCATTTATTAGAAATGTAGTTCATTTTAAGTAATTCATTACAATCACTATCATTACTAACAATCTATTATTATTATAGAAGTTATCATCACTATTATCGTTATTATTATTATTGTCATTATGTTGTTAGTTTATCATTACTATTACTTATTATTAATGATTTTCATTAATAACGATGTGTGGATAATGTGAGAAATTGAATTAGAGTAAATAATTAGCCCATTTCAAGCAATTTGTTTAATTATTATCCATAATAATACAAATTTCTTTGTTTAATAGAAGAACGATTGATGATAAGTTGCAATTAATAATAATATAATTAATAATAGTAATGATAATAATAAAAAATAATAATAACGATGGTGATAAATAATGATAATGACAGTAATTAATAGTAATGATAATAATAATTATAACAATGGTAATAATAATGATTCGGTCAAAAGATAGAAAAAAAAGGAAACAAAAAGTTTTATAAATTAAAAGAAAAAAAAGGCAAAATTAAAAGATTGAATTAATGATAAAACTGAGGAAATAAAAGAAAAAATGTTATTGTCGTTCATTTTCGGATAATTAAAATCATCGAAATTTGATAGTATGTCATTAAGATGTAACATATTGTATGAACTTGTTTTAAGAGAGAAAAAAATGAAATTTAAAAAAAAATGCACTAATTTTTTTTTTTTGTTTTTATTGCTTAGTATGGAAAAATTCTTTCATATCATTTTTCATATTTTCAATTAAATAACTGACTCATTAATTAAAATGTCCGATGAAATTTTCAGCTTCTTTTTTTATTGAATTTATCAAAAAAAAAAAAAAAAAAATAAAGAATAGCACTTCAAATTTTATTGCTATCAAAATTTGCAAAATTCTTTTCACCAATCACTTAACTTTCCCATATCTTCATTCCTATCATAATGTTTTTCCAAGCATAACCCACACTTCCTTGGTTTCTTTTCAAGAATAATTTATTTTATCTTTAATTTAATTTTTTTGAATTTTTTTTTATTCTTGCTTCTTTCTCTATTTCCCGCACTATTTATTTGCATTCTGTTCTTTTTATGCTACATTAATTCCTTCTGAAGTTTGCCACTGATGAAATGATATGATTTATCATTTTTGACTTCGAACAAAAGTTTGAAATGTCTTAAATTTTTTATTTTCAAATCAAATAATTCTCAATTTATTAGATAAATAATTATAATAATTAGATCGAAGATAAAATGAGCAATGCAAGAAAGAATATAGTTAGATAAAATAGAAAAAGAAAATAAAAATTAAAATAATGCTTTTTTACAATTTAGCAAATAATTTATATCAATATGAGTATTATTTATTCAATGTACGATATCATTTAAAAATTCTTTTAAACAAAAATAAATTTACTCAATTACCTGCGCTTTCTTTTTTTAAAAAAATTTCTGATTCGAGAAAATAAAGTTAAAAGAGTTAGTTGAAAAATAGAATTATAAAATAGAATAGAATTACAGAGTTATAAAAACCGACAATAGTTGAGAAGCTATCTATTGCAAAAGAATAACAATGCAATTTACTTTTATTAATAGTATTAGTTGAAATGCGAATTATCCATGCTGCTTTTGTCCATTTCAATTTTGAAATGACCCATTTAAAATGGCTATTTCATTTCGCTTAAAAATTATATTCCACTAGAATAAATAATAAAACTTTCATGATTATATTGTGAAAAATATTAAATTAAATGAAAAATTTCACATTTTCAGAGAAATAAATTGTCATTTAAACGGTAAAAATTCTTTTATGATATTATTATCATTATTACAAAATTTCTAGTCTTCAATTTTTATGCCCAATTTTTTTTTTTTTTTTTGTAATTTTTATAGCTATATTTTTATAAATTTTCATTTTGAATTTTTCAAATTGTAATTTTAAGGGTTAAAATATTTGCAAAAATAAAACATCAAAATCTACTCCTTGTTTCCATTCTTTTGTGTATAACGACAAAAGCAATTTTATGTTTCAATATATAACTTTTTTTAATTCGATTAAAAATAATTCCACCTTTCATTTCTAACTTTAATGACATTATTGAAAATCACTTCAGGTTTAATTTCAATAATTAATTTTCAATATTACAGTAATATGTCCAAGTATCGGATAAGAAATTAACAAAAAATGCTTGTTGATGATAAAATATAATAATGAAAATTTTAATTTATTATTCATTCAAATGATAATATTATCAATTCTATTCAATTTTATTATTTCCAATTTCTTTAAGCAAATGAAACTAACCATTTCACCAAGTGATTCGAACAACTGCGCCATTTGCTCTTAAATATTATTGATTTTGCACCTTTTATCGCCGTATGATTGAATATACTATTAGTGCATAACATATAATCATATTCATTGCTAACAGAGATGTTGAAAACAAAAAGAAAAAGTCAAATTCTCTACTGAAATGAAAGAAAAAAGTTTTTTTTTCCTTTCATATATTTTATGAAATGACATTATTGGACGAAATTATGACAACAACAGCAGTTCGACATTTATAGCTAAAAGTTTAATCCTAAAAGTTTAATTCAGCTTATTAAGAACTATCAGCCTTTTTTTTAATTTTTAAATAAAATTGCTAATTTACGATTTAAGGCTAGAAAAAACAAGAAAACATTACT